TTACTAAGTTATATATTACTACTACTACGACACACACGACACACACACACACACACTAATATACTATATATATATATATATACTATATACTATATATATATACTACTACTACTACTACTACTACTACTACTACTACTATATATATATATATATATATATATATATATATATATATATATATATATATACATACATACATACATACATACAACATACATATATACACACACACACACACATATATATATATATATATATATATATTATACTTACCGCCTTCGAATAGCCGAATCTAGACACCACGGTATATTTGTAGCTCCCAATACCAGTACCCCGTCCATGTCATTACCCACTCCAGCCATCTGCACCATAAGTTCTGTTTTAATCCGTCGCGCTGATTCGGATTCGCCTTCGCTTCGATTGCCCGCTAACGAATCCACCTCGTCAATGAAGATGATCGCCGGTTTCTGCTCTGCAAAAACCAGGTTTACCGATAAGGTGTCAGGCATGTCAGCATTTAACGCCTATAGAAATTGAGTGTACTTCAGTGGATTTTGGATATATGAAGATTGGTTTTGGGATGTGTTTTGTGCTCAGGTATCATTAAAAGATGTGATAGGTATGGATCAGTGTGTCCGTATACTAGTAGATGAGGTAGGTAGGGTTTAGGGTATCGACGAAAGACGACACAATTCACGGTTCTAAGTTGACAGCGCATAAAGACGGCAGGGAATGCATAGTCGCTGCAGAATTCTAAACCCTAAACCCCTGCAGATTTGTCATATATTTATATATGGACTACACTGACAGGTATATCATTCTCAATTGTGACGTACTCGACTGGCGTAAGAAAGTATGCACCTACTAAGCGAAGTATAATGTTGGAATTCGAAGCACACGGGTTTAGGGTTTAGGGATAGAACAGTAATACACATCCCATTGGCATTGGCTGCCTTGTCTATAAATAGGACATACCTCGTGCCATTTGGAATAGATTTTTGACTAATTTCTCACTCTGCCCCACCCATTTCGACACCAAATCGGAACTCGACACTGAGAAAAAGGTCGAGTCGGCTTCTGTGGCGACCGCTTTGGCCAAGTAACTTTTACCGGTACCTGTGCACGTGCGTAGTTTATTATCAGAACCAGAAGAACAAAGCATTATTAAACAACTGATCGTTATCTGTCACGGTGATACATATTCATACGCAAATCCACATGACTATCAGTCAAACAAGATAGTAGTACTATTTAATCAACAGTGCCCAAAAACCCTAAACCCTAAACTAATACTTGGAAGCTACATCTAAAGTTCTGTATCAGATGTCTCATAATCGAGAAGTAGGTAAAAATAATGGGTACATTTTGAACCTATTTGCGTGGAAATAGACACTTGGCAGCGTCATTGCGGTCTGTAAACAATCAATTAAAAGATTAACCTATCACCTAATAACAATTCTTTCAAAACAAATAATTAAAACAATCGAGCACAAAATATTCCAACCTGAGAGTTAGGTGTGTCACCACACGTGCCGTTATTCTGACACTACGCACACCACATGCACAAACACAGCACACATGAACTGACCAGAGCACATGTTGAGAACACCCGTGGTATTAGGGTCTAGTTTTAAGGTTATAGGGTTAGGGTTCGTCAGCGTTTAGCTAAAACCCTAAATCCGGCAGTACTAAGGTACGTACTATCACAAACACTGGACCGGCTACCAAGGTATCATGTAGTCAAACTACCATGAAAACGCTAAACCCTAAAATCCTGGATTCTGGAAAAACAGAACCTTCAGAACAACCACAGTGAATCAAGCCCAGCACAAATACATAAACATACACTGCAGGAATTAATCATGACACCAACGCAAGAAAAATGTCATTAATATCAACACGAACACAACAAATGGAAATTAATCGCTCCACATACACAACTAACTCAACGCAGACACCCTAAAGCATTATCATATAACTTCCTGTAAGCCATCTACAACACAACAAATGGAAAGTAATAACCTCACTTGCACAACTAACTCAATTCAGACACCCTAAAGCATTATCATATAACTCTCTATAAGCCATCCACAACACAACAAATGGAAATTAATAACCCAACTTGTACAACTAACTCAACTCAAACACCCTAAAGCATTATCATACAACTCCTTATAAGCCATCCACAACACAAATGGAAATTAATAACCCCACTTGCACAACTAACTCAACTCAGACACCCCAAAGCATTATCATATAACTCCTTATAAGCCATCTCAGCTAAAACCCTAAAATCCTAAATGCCAACCATATCCGTCTCGAACGTTGCACAACAACATTCCCCTAGCAGGATCACAGACCCTAAAACCCTAAAACCCATCAGACTCAACAAGTGTACCTACTCCACGCTGCAGCTGACAGGTCACTTTCACCTGCAACAAAACGTACTACAGATACACCCACAAATACATACCTACACCGCGACAGCCAACGTATACTACATTAAAGTCTATCATACACAACTACAGACTAAACCTACACCAAACCTACGATATAAAAGGCAACTAGAACCTTTAAAACACAACTACAGACTCAAACCACACCAAATCTATGATATAAAACACAACTACAGACCAAACCTACATCAAACCTATGATATGAAAGGCAACTAGAACCCCTAAAACACAATTGCAGACTCAAACCACGCCAAATCTAAGATATAAAACACAACTACAGACTAAACCTACACCAAACCTATGATATAGAAGGCAACTAGAACCCCTAAAACACAACTACAGACTCAAACCACACCAAATCTATGATATAAAACACAACTAAAAGACTAAACCTACACCAAACCTAAAACATAAAACACAAACCACAAGCCTTCGCAAGTACCATACCCGGGGGTCCAAACAGGAGGATGCCCCTCCAGGGTGTGCGATTGCCTTTGAACAGATGCGGAAACTTGAGCGGCAGAATCACAGCCTCCTTCAGCGCTTCTTTGGCGCTCTCAAGGCCACAGACATCGTCCCACTACGCGTGCGTGTGCGCATGGGGTGGAATCAATAGGGTTTAGGGTTGCAGGGATTAGGGTTTCGGGTTTTATTGAATCACAGCCTCCTTCAGCGCTCCTTTGGCGCTCTCAAGGCCACAGACATCGTCCCACTACGCGTGCGTGCGCGCATGGGGTGGGACCAATAGGGTTTAGGGTTGTAGGCTTGTAGGGTTTTAGGGTTTTGTGGTTTTGTGGTTTGGGGTGTGCGTGCGATCATGAAGTGGAAACTATACGTAAGAGATAGACCACGTGTGCAGGGGTGATCTTAAGTACACCAGAGGCCACGCAAAACATGCGCTTGAGTGTGTGTGAGTGCAAATGCTGTAACTATTCCACACGTGTGTAGGGGTGGTCTGAAGTACACTAGAGGCCAGGCAAAGCATGCGCTTGAGTGTGTGTGAGTGCAAATGCTGTAACTACTCCGTAGCCAATATCACGTGTGCAAGGGTGGTCTTAAGATCCCTCGAGCCTACAATTAC